CCCCCCCCCTTCACCCCCCCCTACCTCACTCCACACCAGCATGGTGCCGAAGACGACCTGCAGCCCATCGAAGAAGTTGTCGCCGATGACGATGACGGTGGCACCTCCGGTGGTCCAGCCCTCGCTGGGGCTGATGGCTTTGATGCAGGGGGTGGCTGCTTCGGGCGGGAGGGGAGAGACAGGGCAGCAGTGAGTGTGGGGGCACGTGGGGCGGGATCGGGGGACGCCAGGGTCGGGGCCGGGGGCGCAAGGCTGGGGGAGAGAAGGCAGAGAGGGAGAGCAGAGGCAGAAAGTGAGAACCAGGCAGCGGTGAGGGGGGGGACGACAGACACGGGTGGCCACGGATGCATGGACACAGATGGGGATGGTGAGGGAGAGCGCATGCAGGGGACGGACGGGGGGATGGGGAGCGGATCGGTGGAAAGAGCACGCACAGGACAGACGGACGGAGAGCAAATAGGTCAGATGGGTGGACGGGGCACGTATGCAGTGGACGGAGGGACACAGACAGACGTGGCGGATGCACGGACGGACAGAACAGTGGATGGACAGAGAGCACCCAGGAGGGCAGGACAGCCTGCATGCGTGGGACGGACAGAGGAAGGAAGGGACAGACAGAAAACGCAGGTGCACGGCAGGCAGATGGAGAGGCCGTGTGTGTGTGCTGGGCGGACGGACAGACGTACAAGGCATAAATATGGCGCTGGGTGCCCACCTCCAGGGCTGCCCGGGGCTGTGCCAGGGCTGGGGGAGCTGCAGCCTCTGAGCGGTGTGGGGCAGAGCTGGGGCACAGGCATCCCCTCCTCGGGGGTCCCGGCATGGGGACACAATCTCTGGGGCTGCTCCAGCACCGTGGGGCAGGCACGGCCACGGGGCTGCCCTGGCATCGTGGGGTGCACGTGGCCATGGGGCTGCCCCGGCGCTGTGGGGCACACACGGCCATGGGGCTGGGCTCTGGCACAGCCGGGACAGGGGATGCCACGGTAGGAGCAGCACCCACCGGCAGGGACGCTTGTCTGCCCCTCCACGCGGCCATGCACACGTGCCGGGGCAGGGCACACGCGCGTGCGTGGGCACGTGCTCTGTGTGCGTGGGCATGCCGGGCGCCCGGTAGGGACTCACCTTCGGAGGGGTCAAGGCGCCGTGCCCGCCGCCCGTGCTTGGAGTTGTTGTGGACAAACATGTTGTCAGACACAGCCAGGACGTGGCCGTCCACGTTCACCGTCGTTGACACGACCACCTGCGGGACAGCCGGCTCAGGGCCACCGCAGAGGACGGGGGCTGGCGTGCCCTTCCCCACGGGGACTCCACAGGGTCCTCCCCCCCCCCCGTGGGTATGTCACCCCACGGTGGGATCCTCACCCCGCTGCTCATCTCTAGTGTCCCCCCACACCCCTGAGCATCCCAGGACTGTCACAGGTGCCCTCCGGACCCTCTGTGCCTTGGTGGTGACACGTATGTGCAAATCTGCACCTGCGTGGTCGTGCACGCCTGTGTGCACATATGTGTACATGTGCCACACGTATGTGCATGCAGGAGCACTTGTGTGCACACGTGCATGCATACATGTGCATGCGTGTGCATGCATACCTACATGTGCACACACGCATGTGCCCCCATAACCGTGCAACACGCAGCGCCACAGGACCCCGGCCCTGGCCCTGGCACTGCCCGGCATCAGCACCAGCCTGTCACCGTGTCACCGGCCTGGGGGACCCCGGACCCCAGGGGACACCCCAGCCCATCCCCTGTGCCCCCCCCTGCACCCCGCTCCCCCCCTCCAGCCTGGACTTGGCTGCTCTCCCGGAGCTGCTTGGTGCTATGCAAATTGGATAGGTCGTTAATCATGTAAAAATGTCACAATTATCATATCTTTACGAGAGGCCCTAATGAAGGCGCCCGTGCTGGGTGGGGGACGGGCCGGACCCCCCCTCTGCTCCGCTCCCGAACCTCCAGCTGCTGCGGGGAGAGCTCGGCTGCAGTCAGGGGACACGGGGGGAGTGTGTGGGGGGCGAGGGGACACGGGGGCTGCAGAGGGGTTCAAGAGCAATTAGGGTTTTTAAGTTAGGGTTTGCAAAGGGGTCGAGGGGAATTGGGGTTTGCAAAGGGGGTCGAGGGGAATTGGGGTTTGCAAAGGGGGTCGAGGGGAATTGGGGTTTGCAAAGGGGTTCAAAGAGAATCGGGGTTTACAAAGGGATCAAGGGGAACTGGGTTTTGCAAAGGGGTTCAAAGAGAATTGAGTTTTGCAAAGGGATCGAGGGGAATTGGGATTTGCAAAGGGGGAGAGGGGAATTAGGGACTCGATTCCCTGAATGGGCTCCCTGAATGGGGAATTGAGTCCCTAATTCCCCTCGTCCCCTTTGGGAAAATATATGAGGTCTCCAACCCCGTCCCCTCCTGCAGTCCCGGTGTGTGGGGCAGGGTTTGGAGGAGGAGGGGGTCCCGCTATTTACCTGGAAGCGCCGCATATCCCGGGGGTTCCCCGCATTCTTCAGGCAGTTTTGGTTGCATTTGAGGAAAAACTTGAGGAAAAACCTGGGATGGAAGGAAAGAACCCAGCGGTCAGTGCTGGCAAAACCAGGAGGGGGTGTGTGGCAAAACCGCGGTGCCAGGGACCCCCTGATGTCTCCCCCCCTCCACGCCATCCCTTGGTTCCTAGGGGCTGGGATGGGAGGAGAGCATGAGGGATCACAGTTGCACACGCACGGTATCACGGTTGCACATGTGTGGGGATCACGGTGCACACTCCTGCGTGCATGGATGCACAGACCCACGCCTGGGGGCGCAGCCAGACGTGCTCCCCAGGACCCCCACCGCAGGGTCCCCCTGCACACACATGTGCTTTTGGGCACCGAGGTGACAAACTTGCTGTCCCATCCCAGCTGTGGGCCACCCCACGGTGCACGGCCAAAGGCAGGCACAGCCACCGGCACCCTGCGTGGCCACACATGGGCGCACGGGCAGCCCACACATGGCACATGCGTGCACACACACATATATTGGCTTTGCACCGTGCCCGGCCATCACGCTGTGCCAGCTGGCTTTGCCACAGCAGCTCACCGCGATGTGCCAGCTCCCTGCCCCAGCCCTGGTGACCGCACAGTGCCGGGTCACTGCCGTGCCAACTCACCACAACACAGTAAGTCTCTGAGCTGTGCCAGGTCACCCCACCATGCCAGGCTACTGCACCATGCCAGCTCACCGCACTGTGCCAGCTCACTGCACCGTGCCAGGGCACTATGCCACGCACGGCCACCGTGCCGTGCCAGGACACTGTGCTATACCAGGTCAGTGTGCCATGCCAAGCCACCATGTCCCTCTGTGCCGTCTGCCTCCATTGGCCTGGCACGGGGCAGCACATTTCCCGGCCCTCTTGCCAATGTGCCTGGGCTCTGCCCTGCCCGTGCAGGCAGCACATCGGCAGGGCCTGGGCATTGCATGGGACTGGTGCATCCTGGTGTGCCATCCTGTCCCCATCCCAGTGTGCCATCAAGTCCCATCCCAGCATGCCATCCTGTCCCCATCCCAGTGTGCCATGGTGCCCCATCCCAGTGTGCCATCCTGTCCCATCACAGCATGCCATCCTATCCCCACCCCAATGTGCCATCTTATCCCCTTCCCAGCATGCCATCCTATCCCACCCCACTGTGCCATCCTGCCCCATCCCAATTTGCCATCCCGTCTCAGCAGCCTGTCCTGGCATCTCATCAGCGCATCCAACTCTGGCACCTTACCCCGACATCCCGCTCCAGCACCCTGCCTTGGTATCCCACCCCAGGACCCCACCTCAGCCTCCCGCTATGGCCCCCCAGCCACCTCCCCAAGCACTGCAGTGGGGCTGGGGAGGGGGACGTAGGGGACAGGAGGGTCGGCAGGGGAAGCAGGTGCCCAGCTAGAAGGTTCCCATGGCCCCATTAGCTGCTGGTGGAGGCTTGGGGGGGGCCACCGCGCAGCATCCGAGACCCCTGGGACCCCCTGCGATGCAGGTACAGGGACAGGGCAGCGGGCACAGCCTCCCCGGCCCCAAACCCCCTTCAGCCCCATCCTGGGTGGGCACAGGCCAGGGGGACACCAGCCCCTGGGGCCATTGCGGCCCCCCCCAGGGGACTCTGGGCACTCTGAGCAGAGAGGGCACCCCAAGACCGTGCCCCCCCCAGAGGCTCCTGCCATCAGCCTGCACCGGGGCATGCAGAGAGGGGCTCCCACACGGCTGCTGCTGGGATGCTGCCCACGGGGGACGGTTTTCCTGGGCAAGGGCAGGAAGAGGGGGACCCCCCCGTGTCCCCCCATCACCCGCCGCCTGGCAGGTGGTAATCAGGGGAAGGAAGGAGCTGGAAAACGGCATGAAAACCCCACCACCCCCCCCCGCCAGGAGATTGACAAGGGC